AACAGCCCATGTGTCTACTCCTTGTTAGCACTAGAAGCCATGTCACTAGTTAAAATTTTTCGAAGATCATCCGCTAGAAGCGCCGTTATAGTCTCATCCATCTTCAAATTGTCATCTACAAGCATCAATGTTTGTACCAGGTTCTCATAAGACTTCGGTAAAGAACGAAGTAGCAAAATTGTTTGATCCTCATCTTCTACTTTCACATCAATGTCCTTTAAATCCGATATGATCCTATCGAACTTGTTGATGTACTCCCGGATTGATGAGCCTTCCCCCATCTTGCAAGTATATAATTTGGATTTCAAGTAGATCCGATTTGTTAGACTTTTCGTCATGAAGGTACTCTCTAACTTTGACCACACACCCGCCGCTGTTGCCTCTCCATCCACCAAGAAAACGATATCCCTCTTAAGGCATAGGATAATCAACGCTCGTGCTTCGAGAACTAACTCTTCCCAATCCTCATCTGACATATCTTTGTGCTTCTTTTCTTTTCCTACCAAAACCTTGTGTAATTTCTGCGAAATCAATGAGTTTTTCATTTGCATCCTCCAATAGGAAAAATCATTCTTCCTATTGAACTTTTCAATCTCATACTTTCCCACTTTGATTGTTTTACTGGTAGACGTCATTCTCTGCTTGTTTTAGTAAATCTACTTCTCTCAGAAATTTTAACAAACACCTTGTGTGCACCACACAATAACCAAGCACCATCTCAAATCAAAAGTTCTATCACCACCAATCTGATCAATGGCTCTGATACCAATTGTTGGGGGCCGATACGCCCACCTTGTCGCGGAAGCAAATCACCTCGAGAGAAAACCCTGGCTTTTTATTTTTCACTAAACTCATGTCAATCTCAATGTTCCTATTTCAATATGAAACAAGAACAAAAGTAAAATATCTCAGCGATGTGAGATATACACTCTTCCCAATATCATATCTATATCTGAATAGCGAGGAAACCAACCAACACAAGCAATAGCCAATACAATAAGTGAGACATGAGATTTACGTAGTTCGACAAACTTGCCTACGTCCACGAGGAGGGGTGAAGGGAGATTCCACTATAATGGAGAACACCGATGACTTGTACAACCCACAAGCTCGTCCCAAAGAGATGAGACTTAGATTTTACCCAAGAAAGATGATCCCTTTCTTGTACAATCCCTCCAAGTTCTCTCTCTTTTTCTCTCCTCAAAATCTCGCCTTTAGATCTGAAAAATCTCTGCTTTTTCTTCTTTAAGCATCCGGCAAACCCTCTACAGAAACCCTAGAACGATGTTCCTATTTATATCAAGAAAACAAACCCGAAACAAGCCCAAAACGAATCTAGAAACCCGCTGTCATTGTTCATGCCTTCATGCCTTGGGTGCACTGTTCACATGTTTATTCCCCAAAGGTTTTAGGCTAAAGAAACGAATATCAGGAGAAAAATAAATTGGAAAAAAATTCAAATTTCCAAAGTGGATCAAATAAAGATATTACTTTGTGAATCCAAATTTCAGTCCATGAAAAAAATAATGTTCAATGCTTATCAAAACTTCATAGTTTTAATGCAAGATAATGAAATTACAGGTCCAAATGGAGTAACAATGCACCAGCCACTAATTTCAACAGTATGGAAGGTCATTGCGTTGCGTAAGATGCTCTAAGAAATTATGGGTCATGATTAGATATCTCATCAACTGTAAGAACTGAATAACCATATTTAAGACAAGTAGGATTTACTCGATTTCATGGACAAAAGCTCCACCCACAATTTATTAAGAATTCTAGTATATCCACAAAATTCGATCATCTTACTAAATATAAAAAAATCAATAATTAATTTACTTGATATATTTAAACAATTTAATTAAAGTTAATTGTTACTCAATAAAACATTTTTATGCACAACTCTAAAGTAAATTTCTTAAAAAATTATTTTATCATAGTTATAAAAAATCAAATCCAACTTAGAAATTTATCCAAAATTCTGATAGGAACATGTTAGCTTCTTGTTTCTAGCAATTCTGAAGTCTTTTGATCATTTTATTTTTCTAAGAATATATATATATATATATATATATATATATAATATATATTTATATTATATATATATATATATATATATATATATATATATATATATATAATATTATATATATATAATATTATTCTCACATTCTTATCGTGAATTAGCAATAGACTACTCGGAAACAATGATCGGCAACTACCCATCGTGAGTTTGCACTCACCCGTGAATCCTGTAATGTATAAAAAAATTTTATTGCGCTTTATATATATATATATAATATATATATTATTATATATATATATATATATATATATATATATATATAATATATATACCAAAAACTACTCGAAACAATTTATCCACACTATCCATGGTGCATTGTGCACTCACTGTGATCTATATGTATAAAAATTTATATTGCTTTGAAATTGTTAATCGCTATTTCACCTATATGTAGAAGGGACGGCTAGTACACTACCTGAAAAATGAACATATCAAACTAATTTGATTCATATTCTAGAAGACTCTAATTTATATTAAAATTTTACCACATACATACCTGTTGAACAAGATGTATGATACAGATAATGAATTTGATGAGCCGATTAGTTTAGCTCACGTTAAGATTTAAGCAACTATAACCGTTAATTTTACAATCACTTAATACATGAGTAACTACAACTCAATATGGTTAATTTTATATTTCTATACAATACAAAACATATAAATCAAAATGAATAGAACGGATCAAGTAAAGTGATAGCATATAATATAGTTTTGAAGGCACTACCTTAAATTGAATCTAAAGTGTCACCTT